TTGTCTCTTTCCCAATGCGGGATACAATGTGTCTTGCATGCCAATGCAGTCGTGACCACTGCTGTGGAGGCGATGATGGCATGTGGCAGAGAAGTAACTGTTTCTCACCTCCTAATAAAAGAGACTCCTTTTTAATCTTTTCAATTTGATTGCGTTCCAAAACAGGCCTGTCTACCCATCTGTCTCTCTTAAAGAAGCCTCCTAAAGGGATTTTAATCATCTGGCTCTGGGCTTCTCAGGCAAATAACTACATCTCTCTCTTTTCCTCTTTCACACACTCACTCGCATGTACATACACACAGTCATTTACCAATTTTATTTTCTGTACTCTCTGTCAAAGTTTTACTTGTCTTTAATCTTTGATACATTGTGTCGTTGTACCACTTCTATGTCGCCATTGAGGCCCTACAGTCAAATTTTAAGTCCCTCCTCAGACATATAGAAGTCCCTAACTCTGTCCCTCTTAATTCACATGGCTCCAAATTCTTTATTTTCCTTCAAAGGGACAACTGAAGCCGTAACATCAATCACGGAAAGCGAATATTTAGCTGGCGCTAATTTCCACCAATAGCCTGGAGACAGGCTTAGCTGACAAAACTCATTCCTGTGCTGAACAAAACTGCTTGTGTTGAAATCTCCCCTCCCCCTGATCCCTTCTGCCTTCTGCACGGGCAAAAACAGCATCACAATAAACACAGTTAGTGCTTCTGTTACTCCCCGTTGATTTAGGCTTATCAAATGAATGTGCACCATGGAGGGATACCCTTTGACAATACATAATGGACCCATTCTGCATGAAATGGTTTGGTAATACCAGTCGAGTGTGGCAAACGGCTTTACCCGGTGCCACTACAAGAACAGCTGCTGTGTTCTTAGCTGGGCAAGCGCACCACACTGCTTCACCCTTGAGGTTGTTTGAATCGGGTGAGTGGTTTCTTTTTGCCCGTTCCCAGACTCCATTCACACTTCTTGGTTTCTCACTAGGTTCTATTTGAATGAATGCACATTTGCCACAAGTTGAATCTTCTAAACCATTTGACCCGTTTCTATGCCCTGCTGTGTGTGAGCGGGAAAGCCCAGAGTGGATAGTGATGGAGGCCTAATGAAGGGGGATGGGCATTTTTTAGGGCACTCTTTTGTGTAGTTTGGAGGAGGCCCCTTGTGCTACCGCTTATTCCCACCCCTTTATGCACAGCGACCTTGACCATAGCTGAACCTATGCCAGTCAATCAAACTGCTTTGTGCAAATTAATGGGCACTATAACAAACCCTGGCCCAACTCCCCATCCTCGCCCTGTCTACTCACATCTTCTCCAAACTCACACTTGGAATAGCAAAAGAGGGGTGTTCGTGTTGGGCAATACGCCAAAGTGGCCAAGTGGGCACAGTCAGTTAACAGACAAGATGTTGACGGGTAAGAATTCATTCAGTAAGGTTTATTGAGGAACCCCACTGCCTTCATAATGCCAGTGGATTGTGTTGTTCAATTATACCTTGATGTGTGCTAAGCTTCAGCACTGTTAGCAGTTAAACTTCATTGATTCTCATTGCTAAACTCCTGTGCCTGAATTGAACTGACTAAATATTTAAGAAGAGAAGGATAATTCAGGAGCAGTTGATTGATGCTGCATGATTTTAAAGGGCCAGAGGAAGACATCTTAAAGAAGTTGCCAAAAATAAATATTCTGAGTTTACATACAATTTTCAGAAGCTGTAATAAATATGTAGACTGATCATACTACTTTAAAGCCTAGGTAGGAAAATTTACAGACTTATTTCCCCAAATACACAGATGTAGATTAAAGTTTTGCATCTCTCCATACATTGTGGTGAACTTTTCCATAGACACATTAACTAGTGAAACTATTGACATAAGACTGAAAATATGACTCTGGAAAATTAGGGCAAGACTTAACATATCTGAAGCCTTTAAATATCTGAACCTGATTTATAAGCAATGAGCTGTAGAATAAATTGTAATCTTACATATCTAATATATTTTATGTATGTATTTTCCCTTGCCTTCTCTTTTTCCAAGACTGTTTCTTTATCACAAGTGACAACAGCCCTTCTACCATCTCTTGGTACCTGCCGTTGTGGATAAGTGTTGCCAGATTTGTTTATAAAGAGCCTAAGCTTTTAATCTGAAGACAACGAATCCTATCTCCTTATTTGGTATCTATAATCTAAATATCTAAATCAGCTATCTGGGTTTTAAAACCTTAATGAGAGTTGGACCCAATTCGACTCTGCTTCATCCTTGAAACCCTTGTTTACCTTAATTGGCTTTGATTGGCCTGTAAACCATTACCCTTTACCTCTTTTGCTTTATTACGTTAGTTGTGATTGAGCTATGATGAGGATGGATGATTGAAGGGAAACAAAAAAAAAAACAAAACAGAAAAGTATCAGAACAACTTATGACTCCATCTGTTCTCTCTAGTATTAGGGGACCAAGCAGTGCATCTTTCTGCATAAGCTTTGCCACTGGTTCATTCATTATTTAGAGCTCTCTCCAACAGGCCCATTGTATTAAAGGGGTATGATTTGAATAGGAAGTAGCTTCCTGGGCCCAGGCGTGTGATGTGTGTGTTCTTCTGTCATTGTATGTTTCTCTGGGCTTCATTCGTCTGCCTCAGCAAGCCAGGGGGCTGAAAAAGAATTTCCATTTTATGAATATTTAATACATAATAAAGTTTTCAATTTTATTCTGTTCAAGCTTTAGGGGTATAAAAAAAAAAAAAACTTGACAAAGCCAACCCTCAAGGACAGAGCACAGAATAAAGGTGGTTGATTTGATGGAAGCATCAAAAAAATGGTTAACACCGTCTCACAGTTTTGTCATCTACTATAATACACACTAACATTAGTACCACCTTAGTTTTACATCCTATAGGGGTTTTATATCATAATTTCTCTACACTTTATGCACTCTTTCTATGCTGCATTACTATAGGATCATAGTACACCAAGCCTGTCTGTTGCCTCTGAGTTGACCTGGCATAGCTGTGTGAGACACCCAGCTGGGAGTGCCTCTGAATCAACTTGGGATTAGCCCAGGATTGTCTGGGATTACTCAGAGATGGAGGGGGATTAGCAGTGACTGCCTGTTTCGGGGGCGTGAGGGCTGCAGGCTGGCCAAATTGCCCCTGACTCAGAGAGCAGGAGGTGAATGAAACCACACCCAGGGTAGAACCACTGTCAACCTGAGATGTTTTTAGATTTCTGAACATTAGCACACACAAAACAGGGGGTTGGGGGTAAAGAAATGTGTCAGACTTTTTATAACAGAAGCCTGGCGGCGAGTTATGATCATGGTGTTGATGCCATGGCTGGCCACCATCCGACATCTCTCAAATCTCTCTAGCAGGTGGATTCATCAGATAAAGAGGGTTTGGAATGACAAATCCCTTCAAGTTCAGTGGGGCTGCTCTTCTTTTACAGGGAGGATAAATCGAGATTTGAATCGGACAGGTCACACAGAGTGTCAATGTGAAGTGGTTCAGTTATCTGAAAGATGTCCCATTTACAATCAGCTTACATATGTTTTAATTTAGGCATGCATGGGGCTTGGTTGGGGGATGATTTGGAGTGGTATGATAGGTGCATGATCCAGAGATTGAGACAGGGAGCTGGCGAGGCACGTAGAGGAGCCGTCAGATGCAGGGAGCGGGCATCCCCTGCGGACCTGCACTGCCAAGATGAAAGGCTGCTTAGTGTTGGAGCAGCATCATCAAACAGCCGCCTCCTCTTGCATCCTTTCCCCATCCCCCCTGGTTTCCCTCCATTTCTCTCTCTCTTGACTCTCAACACAATATGATATAGTTACGCCACTTCACGTGTATCAGGTTGCCATGGTTACCCAATGCCGGAGGTGTCAAAGCAAGATAACCCAAGGAGGCATTCACAGATCACCTGAATTCAGCTTGCCTCCTGTTTATGTGTTTTTCCTCACAGCAATTTGATTTATTTGTTTCCCTGACGAGCAGTACCATTTGAATACAAATAATCTTCGACGTAATAGAGATAGCAAAGAGCTAGAACCTCTCAATTGGAAATAATCCATTCCACAAGTATATTCTCAAACAAAAGATGCTTATGGTTTGATAGTCTAAATGACCCATACCAAACAAGGAGCAGAACTGTAAGAAAACCAGTAGTCTTTAAGATGTAAATGATAATAAAAAAAAAAATACACTTGATTTTATGAATTACTGAACCATTGACTGTACTTGCAGGCGTAAAGGATAATGGGAAAGTAATTGGTGGCACACTGTCTAATTGAAAGGATGGAGATTGAACGCAGAGGTGGAAAATGACTTATGTTCAAAGAAGTGTGTAAAATAAGAAAAAGGAAAATCTAGACAAGCTGAAATATGTAGCACTCAGTAACAAAAGAGAAAGCAAGCCTCTGAAAGGTTGCGATAAAGACAGAACAAGGGAGGGGTAGAGAGATAGGCATTGAAGGTTGATGTCAGAGGGTTGGATACATCCATTAGCCTTCCTTGCTCCTGGCTCAGTCTTGCAATTCACCCTCTCTCTCTTCCCAATTCAAGCTAGGAGAGCAAAGAGACAGCTGGCACAAAGCCAGACTGGCACCAACTTCAAACATAGAGTATGCTCAACCTCAGTGGCTTACATCAGCCCAGCCTAGGGAAGAAATAGAAAAAGACAGACAGATTGATGGGAATGAATGTGGGGATTGATGTGCAGATAGAGATTCTCTCAAGACGGATTCTAAGGTCACAATAGATTGGATAAGCCTGACATGAGTCTTACCCCATGCTGTAGTTTCTGACCCCTGAACCTAGCACTTTTCAAATGGCTCTTATGATTTAGCATGTTTATTACAACAGTTCATTATAAAATATGACTTCTACACATATTTTAAACGTTTGTGTTGATTTAAGAACAATTTGAGCTACATTGGACAATTAGATTTAAATATTTAACTATTTATTTGGTGATTTTAGTAACCGCTTGTTTTTATGTCTTTGCAGAACTCCATTCGACACAACCTTTCTCTCCACACTCGATTTATCCGGGTCCAAAATGAAGGGACAGGGAAGAGTTCCTGGTGGATGCTAAACCCAGATGGCGGAAAGATGGGCAAAGCCCCAAGAAGACGAGCAGTTTCCATGGACAATAGCACTAAATACCTTAAAAGTAAAGGCAGGATCAGGGGCAAGAGGGTAGGTCGTCCTGGAATTGGAGGAGGATCTGCTGTAAGGGGGCTTCAAAGCTCCCCTGACCATGGCAGTCCCTCACGTAAAACCCTACCAGGACCCGGCAATGCATCTGGAACAGATGGAGAGTTTGACGCTTGGACTGATCTTCATTCTAGGGCTAGTTCATCAGCTTCCACCTTAAGTGGGCGTCTCTCACCTATCCTTGCAGAGGGAGAACCAGAGGAACCAGAGGAAGGTGGCCTCTCTTGTTCTGCCTCCCCTCACCTTTATCCGTCCCCGACCAGTGCTCGCTCCCCATCTATGGGAGCGGGAAATCATTGTCCTCCACTTGAGCAGCTGCCTCAACTGGCTAACTTAGCCGGTGCCATAAGTTTGGATGAGCAGATGATGGAGGATGGCTATCAACATCATTGTCCACAGCAACATCAACAACATCCTCCTGTTGGAAGGAATAAGCACCAGACTCCTGTGTATCACTACAACTCTGGAATGAAGGGACAGGTCTCCTATGGAGGAGGAGTTTACAATACATCAGGGATGGGTATACTCCGTCATCACTCACCATTGCAGACCATTCAGGAAAACAAGGCTACCACTTTTTCTGGAACCATGCGGGCATACTCAAGTACAAACGCACTGCAAAGTCTACTGACAGGAGGTTCTGCTGTGCAGCAGTACTTTTCTAAAGACCTTATGTTGGGGCAGGAGAGGGAAGGCCATCCTATGATGGGTCAGACGAGTAATGGAGTAGGATCCAACCACCACAGCCACCATCCTGTGCACAATAGTGGAATTCATAACCATAACAGAACTCACAATCACACTCCTGGTCACAATCACAATAGTGTAAGCAACCACAATCAACCTCACAGCCTTGCTCACAATGGTCACAGTCTCAGCCGGAGCCATATCAACACACCACCCCGAGCAGCAGCCCTGACCACATGTGGAAACAGTAACCAGTTACAGACTTACAATCACAAAGCTCCCTACCTGTACAGCCCACCATCCCATGCTCATCTTCCTGCTTCTACAACCCTCCCCCCAAACCCAGCAGGTATGCTTGGCATGCCTCAAGACTCCTGTCATGTGGCTTCCACCCCACACCCCCGTCATAATCATTACCCAGACTCACAACACCAAGGCTTGAACAATGGACCCTACCACCATGGCCAGGGGATGGGTAATGGCAGTGTTGGTAGTACCTACCATAGCTATCACCAACCCTATCCCCATGATAGATTACCAGCTGATTTAGACATTGATATGTTCCATGGTAGCTTGGACTGTGATGTGGAGTCCATCCTTCTACATGACATTATGGACTCAGGGGAGGAAATGGATTTTAACTTTGACTGCTCCCTCGCCCAGGGGGTTGGAATTGGCATGGGAATGGGAATGGGTGTGACTATGGGCATGGGAATGAGTGGTCTGGCTGGTCCACAGCAGGCCCACAGCAACCAGAGCTGGGTCCCTGGCTGAATTCCAGAACAACATCTCCAGGACTGCAACCCAACTTATGAAGCACTGTGCTCAATTATGACATTCCTGACTCTGAACAAAGCCTACAGGACCAAGCCCCCCCATGTCTTATTTGTTGTCTTGACAATTGCTCTATCACCCCTGCTCTTTTTATCCCCTTCTTACTGAGAGATCTAGTTCATGTCAGATTAATTTTTTTCTTGAATCAGTTGTACTGTGATGACAATCTCTCAGCTGTGCTTGGCCGGCATCGCTTCTCATTTACCATGAGAACTGAACTCTGAATGCACTTTATCGCAAGTGGGTCACATCTCACGGTGCAGTGCCTTCACAGAGCAGCTCAGGCAGAGCTTGACTTGTTTTCTGAGGTGGTTGCAGCATTTGACAGGAACAAACAAGGAACACAACTAATAAAAGCGTCAGAGGTAGGAACCAATAACTAGATTTTTTTCAGTTGTGGCAGAGACCAATCGAAAACACCTTTAGGCATGTTGATTGGACGTTGGTTGCCCTGATTCTGTTTTAGGTTTGAACATGCTCACCCCTAAAATATTGTTTTTCTTTTACTAAATTTAAATGATTATTTCAACCAAAAATACTTTTTTGGAATATTTGTAATATAGTTAGGCTATATTTTGAATTAGTTTTCAGTTAAATCATTCAAAATAAATGTGTAATACATTTGCATATTCTTAGCTTCCATCTGACTATTTTGCTGCAGCCATATTATTTTAACTTCCCACAGATTATTGGGGGTTACATTTTCTCAAATGTAACATGTAAAGACCTCATTATCATCTGTTACAAAAGACCGTCCTAATGTCATTACATGCATGCCATCGTTAGTGGCAAGCATGCAATTTGGCAAATTAAAAATCTCATATCACCTTGCTTCACCTGGGTTTTTTGCTCCAGCATGCCCCCGCCCCTGTCTGGTGGTGCAGACTAAGTGACCATTTCTCACATCAAGCCATTAATGTGGCTTGATTGAAACTCAGCATCTTGCTTTTAATCTCCAAAGTGATGCAGAGGCAATGTGTCATTATTGAGAATTTAACATGTTGTCCTTCCTTGCTAACCCCTGGCTGTCTTTTAGCATAATGCACCAGGAGCTTTGAGACAAAACAGTGATTAACTTTATGTCACTCTGCCTGCTGTCCTGCTCTGAGAAGAGCCAATGTCACTGTCCGCTTTCCCACTCAAAGAGGGTACATAATAGAGAGGAAAAAGCCTCTTGTTGCAGTGGGATCAGTCAGTCTCAGATTTTATGCTCTTTAGATCAATGTGTGTGCTAAAGAGTAGTGTACTCACGTCATAAATCATCCCCATAATTTGTGCTTTGCTCCTATGTTTACAAATCTAATAACCTGATATTCAAGTTCAGGTGCAAAGGGATTTTTTTAACGGGATAGGTGAGGATTTTTTTAAGTGAGGTTCTGTTAAAATGGTGAATTACTATTATACATTCAGAATATTGCTTTGTTTGCATTTTAATTTTGAATAAATCAAGTTTTGATTCCAAAGGCTAAAGCTAATTTTAAGCCCAAAGGGGACTTTTGATTTAAAAAGCACTTCTTTCTCAAAAATGCCATACTGGTTTATGCACAAGCTGTTTTATGAGCCTTTAAACAGTCGTCAAATTGGGATAGGTCAATTATTTATACAATTGCTGATGGTGTTTTTAAGGTAAATGATGGTGGGAAGCAGTATGCCATCAATGATCTTCTGTGTAAAACAAAAGGAATGGAATTGTGAAATTTTTGTTTTTGTCATATTAGCTAATCTAATAGGCTTGGTAAAAAAAAAAATGTATTTTTGCTTTTTACACCTTTCTTAATTTTAATATTTTATTGATATCAGATCTTTCTGAATAGGTTACACTGGATAAGGGTCCAGCTGATGGCCCAAAGGTCGATAAAAGTAGACGATAGTGTCACGTTCCCAGATCAGTTAATCAGAATTATTACTAATCAAAGACCCAGTAAATGTTGTGCTGGCAAGACAGGAACTGAATACAGAAGTATAACAGAACCACACTTCTAAAATCTTGAACCACCTTAAAAAAAAAAGCAGGTAATCGGAATACTTAAACCATAAAATGAGGTTGAAATCCCAAACATTTATCCATGTCTAATTTTTGAGTGTTTATTCTGCTGTCTTGTAGTTGTTGTATTCTTTGAAACCTAAGGGGGAGAAAATAACAGGACTTGAACTATCATACTATAAGAATTCAATCCATTGGTGAAAGAATGATGGTGTAGTATGATCTTCATGAGATTCAATGCCATGCACCCCTCTCATGTCCTCTGCTCAGTCATTTTGTTGGTGAGGAGGTGTTTCTGCAGCTTATTTGCCTTCGGCCTTGGGAGAGCATAAGAGGAAACTCTTATTCTCTACATCCCTCAAGAAGATTCCCCACTCTTTGCTCCATACAGTCATAAAAAAGAAATAAACTAAACAAAAGATTGTAGGAGATTGGAGGGAGTAGGGGTTATTTTTACAGCCAAAGGTCAAGCATGGCACAGACTATCAGACCCATTATTGAGGTATATTACATTTATTTCAGGCTTTTTAGTTGCCCTGGTTCCAGTTAATCTCTGTGGATAATGCGTGGAATTTTATAAGTTCTGTGACCTCAAGAAGCAGTTCTTTTCTATCCTATGCTACAGATGGTTAGCAATTCCCTGCTATTGGAAAGAAAGCTATATATGATGTCTAATTTTCTGATATTTATTTATGAAACAGATCTGTCTTTGTCATTCCTAACTGTGATAGTTGTACAAGTCCAATGTCGTCTTTTTTATTTTCTTTTTTTTTTTAATGACCCTGTCCTTTTGCCAGTTTGACTGATTTTTATTTTGTAAAATCTCTCTCTGTCTATATATATATACATATATATATATAAAAAATGTACATTAGTTTTTAAAAATCTCAAAAGAATTATCAGTTTGCTGTCTATTTCTTTTTTAAAAGAATGTATCTCATCATTTGGTGACTGTTAAATAAATGAAATTTAAAGAAAAGTTTTGCCATTTTCTTATCTTTTATTTGATGTCTTATTTGCGCTAGTTATTTTGTCCTTGTATTATTTCAGCCACATGTTTTTTTTATTTAGAATATACCATAAAAGTTCATTTATATCAGATATTGAATTTTGAAAATAAACAAGTAATCTGAAATGGGACTTGGGAGGCCTACGTAATAGTTCTTTTCTTCTCCTTTGAAAAAAGGAAGATGCTTCTGATGTGGTTTCTTGTTCAGTTTTTGAATGGAATTGGCATCATAATCGACTCAAGCCTGCAATAGTTCCTGCTTCATTTGCACATTTTCTACCACACTTCTACCTTCCACTCAACTTTAAATTGGATACATCACTGTGTAATCATATTTATTTTCAATAACTATTACAAGGCTTACTCTCATTCTGCAGTTTGTCAGTAACTCTCAGCCAGATAACAAGTCAGCACTTCTTTCCCATGATTGTATAAGCCATATCATACACAAATAACAAAATGGGTATTATAAATTCAGTCAACCTATTTTACTCTAAATAGAGTATTTACAACTATACTGAGTGTAAATCTATTCCAGTGTTGGAGTCAATAGTTAGTGAAAAAATTGACAGCCATGTAGTGTAAGTTTTACTCTTTATGGTGTAAATTGCCAGCTAGTCTCTAGAGGTCTTCCTGATTTTGACACTGAAATTAGTAAAATTAACTTAGAAAAACTGACTCTAGCTATAGAGTAAATTGTACACTAATTTGGAGTGGGATCAAATGTTATCTGAAACAGTGTTATATTCAACTCTGTTAAAGACGTTAAAATAACACTTGTTTTTTTTTACTTTGTACAACTTGTATTTTTAATATTTTTTGTATGGTTCTATGTAATTTTCAAATCCCCACCCCCAAAAGAGTATAAAATCATACTCATCAGGGGTATGAATCATTGTTTTTATAAATCTGTATGTAATGTAACTAAAATACTTTTTTTCTATATAAGCTTATTTACTGGAATTAACATTTTAAGGATATTCTAATTTCTGAATTAATGATGTGAGATAATGTAAAATATATTCGTTTTTTTTTGTTCTTCATTTTTGACACATTAAGCGTCTCACAGATATAACGACCCTTATTTAAAGTTGTACTTAAAGCATAATGTTTAATTATGAAGGTAGCTGTTAGAAAAATAATAATAATGACAAAACAGAAGGGATGAAAGTTCTGTTGCATGAATTGTGGGAAGCATCTCTTAATTGAAAAATAACTGGAAATTGCGCATGATTAGGATAGACATACGGACATAGAAACAAAAAGCAGAACCAGATTTGGCTGGATTAGAGGGGTGTAAGTATCATAAGGCTTGTTATTTCCAACAAATCAGTATAGGTTGGCCACAGCTGTCCGGGTCCCATTGGAGGTGTTTTCACAGGAGGAGTCTGGAGCGCAACAGCGCCATACTGCCAGGCCCCAGGGGAGTCTTCGCCTCCATGCACACACATGAACACGCAGAGATGCAGACGCCACACCAAATGTTTGCGCACATGCATTTGAAAATATCACAAATTCACACATTTGCACAAAGAAGTGCACAGCTCCGTTATAAGACCCAGCACACTCACTCAAACAGATATTTCTCACTTATATGTACACTTTTAATTGACTCCACTTGGCAAATCTTCTCTGTAGGGAAAAACAAGTGAGAAATAGAGAGAAAGAGAACAACAAAGGTGCCAGGAAAAGGCACCAGGCAGCGTTTATTTAAAGCTAAAGATGCCTGACAAAAAAACAATTAAACCGTTTTGCGTGGTTCTAGGAGGTGTGATGTCTTCAGACATGGTTCAGAGACTTTATGAGATGTTGTGTGATTTCATGATTAGACCAGACTTTGTGTGGCTGAGTGGAACCCAAGACTCAGAGCCTGGCAGGAGGCCAGGGTCTTGCTTCTCTCTGTCTGTCTCCTGAGAGCCAGAGTTTGGGGCAGACAGTAGGGCACTTCAGTCCAGGTGCGGTGCCTCAGGGACGTTCTGCTCCTCTTTTCCTCATTATGAGAGCCAGAGAGAAACTGCATTACTGTGTCATTATTCATCCACTCAAGCATCTGGAAACAGGTACTTCCTCAGTTGGTGTAGTCCTGCTGTTGCAGAGACCGCCCTTGGAGCTAAGGGCTGGCAGGGGACATTGCTAACTGCAAACAGACAGAGCCACCCAGGCAAGACTCTGGGGTACACATGTCCTTGAGTACTTATGAGGAATCATCTCTTCTTACTTTCCAGGTGAGCTCTTATGTCAAGAACTTATTTTTTTCTTTCATATGACAAGTATATAAATACATTAAAATGATATGAATAATATAAATATGTAGCAAATGTTTTATTTTATGAAACATAAAACCAGATATATGCCCTCTTCATAAATGGCTATCTGAATACAGGAAAATATGAAATGTAAAGTTTTCCATGGGATTCTGGTAGTTTTGGACTGCACAACAGACAGGTTCACATAGGAGAGAATTGTGGCTGGCTGAAGTGGTAAACTGTGAGTATTGTGTCTTTGAATGTTAATAAAAATGATCACATGTTTTTGCAAATGGGAACCGAAACACAGCATTTGTAATGTTTTCTATTTTAATTGATAAAGCTATTTCAGATACAGTCAGTAGAGACTGTTCAGGGCTCCTCTCAGCTTGACCTTGGCTTGTCAAGGTGGGGCATACATTTACTATATTGAGCAGTCCCTACTCCCTAAGTAAATACTCATTAGAACCACATTTTGCTTTTATTATAACTATTTCCAAATTCCAGAGAGTTTAAACATCTTCTAGAGGGTGACATTTAGCCTTTTTCTCTTTGTAATATCTACCCAAATTCAGTTAGACTGAACAGAGATGGTTTGTAATTGTTATTGTTCGAGTTTTGCCAAATATTCTTAAGTGGATTTAATTCTTGACTTTTACTAGGTCATTTGAGCACATGAGTACAGTGTATGCCTAACCATTTCCCTGTAGCATTAGCTGTAGATGTTGTCCAACTGGAAGGTATATTTGTGCTCCAAACATCTCCATCATCTTACAGGTTTTCCTATCTCGATTTTCCTGTACTTGACTCAATTTATCTGTCGAAGAAAGAATCCCCACAGCATAATGCTGCCACCCCCATTATTCAATGGGAGGAGGATGCATTCAGAGTGATGTGCATGGTTATTTATTTATATATTTTTTACACATGGTATTTCTCTTGTCACCCAATTTTGGACTCATCTGCCCAGAACATCTTCCGACTTATGTTTGTTGAGTCCTTTATAGGACTTGTGACAAATTATGATTTTTCTTCATCTTTCTTGCTTTCTTCTCTTCAATGTTCTTTAAGATACCTGATTTATGGAGTGCAGAAGACAGTTTCTGACAGTTTTCAGTGCAACATTTCCCCTGAACTGTGTCATGCTCACCTTAACTGCACCACAGTTTTATGCCTGCTCGGTGTTAATCTTGGTCTTTACAGCACTATTTGTTAATCAATTCTCATAAAAAAGTGTACTTTTTGTTGGTCTTTCATGTTCAATCCCAATAAAACACAATAATGTATTTGGTTGTAATTTGATCAAGTGTAAAAAATGACTATTACTAATTTGATAAAAAAACTGTAAAAATGATGACAACCTCCTACGCTACAAGCAGTAACAACTGTCGGCTAAAGGAAAAATATGGTATTAGGTTAAAAAAAAAACATATCATTTTGCTTTAAAGCCTCTAGTCAGAGTTTGGTAAATGTCACAGTTCAACACTTTAGAAATTTAGAACCACGTCCGGGATGAAGAACACATAAGTTAACTGTTTGGAAATCACCGAAAACATTATTCTTCAACCACAGCAAACAAGACTGCCTCATTTCAGTCATACTCTGAGCCAGATTTTATCTGACTATCAATTTCTACCAGTTTGTAATGGTCTTATAAGTAAGTTGGAAAACAAGGCAAGTGTTTGTCTGAAATTGTGCATTATGTGCCATCTATAGGGCATTTGGATTGGGGCAACATGCAACAAGTTACTAAATCATATGATTTGTTAAAGACAGAAGGGATAAAACATGCAAGTTTTGTTAGCTCATAGCATTAAAGCTACAGTGTGTAATTTTCAGCGACATCTAACGTCCAGACTGCAGACCACAGCAACATGAACATCTCCCCCCCACCGCTTCTCCCCCCCAACAGTACGGCGAGCGTTATGGGACAAAATGTCTTCCATGACGTCCGCATCACCTACCTTCT